CGCGCGCGCCTGCGCCCGCGCCCGCGCCCGCGCCCGCGCCCCCGCACGCACGCACGCACGCACGCACGTACGTCCGTACGTACGTACGCACGCACGTACGCACGTATACGTACGTACGTGCACGTACACGCACGTACACGCGCGTACACGCGCACACACACACACACACACACACACACGCACACGCACACACGAACGCACGAACGCACGCACCCACGCACCCACACACACACACACACACACACGCACGCACGCACGCACGAACGCACGCACGCACGCACCCCCACACACACACACACACACACACACACCTTGCTGATGTATAGCAGTTGCTTTGGTTGCTCTTGGGGTTGGCTTAGTTTTGTCGGTTTGTGGTTGTCAGACGGGCGGGTCAGTTGTGAAAACAAAACCGCAAGGACAATGACATTGACAGAGTTCCTCCTTGTCATGGATGTTCTTCATACTCACGTATAAATACTGGATATTGCCACTTTTCGCGTTGGCTTTGTGTTGTCATTGCAGGAGCAGCTCAAAATACGGTTTAAGGCTCATTGAATTTGGCATGACCTTCATACTGATGCATCTTGAACACTTACTATTACTACCTTTCAACAGTTTTCCAACAATCAGGTGATGTTTAGATGTTTAAACGATGTTTAAAAAAACAACGAGACAGGAGTTGGTTACATGTTCAGATTCGGTCGCTCGTCGTTTGATTGGCAGTTTGATGCAGTTCGGCCGCCGCAGCAATTTTGGCCGCTCAGTTTTGCTTCGCCCGCAATGTTGTGCCCCCGCTGCTCGGTCGTTCAGCAGAAGCGCAACTGGCGGCCCGCGCAATGGAGGTCTTCTGACCCCTACATTCATGGAAATTTGGGCTGTAAGCAGTGCGGGTGTGCTTCTGACGAGGAGATTGACACGCACTTGGCGCGGGTGGGCAAGCTGCTGTCTTTTGCGGCGCCGCGCCAAGGCTGGCTTGACTCTTGGATGGAGCGCTGGACCGATTTGGGGCGCAGCACCATCAAGTGGTTGAGCCACCATGGGACGCTGCAGTGCCGACCTGGGGCAGAAGCAGAAGACCCGGGCACCTTGCCACCATTGCTTGTGATACGTTGCATTTGACTTGTTTGTTGTGCGTCTTGCTTCGGGCTGTTTCCATTGTAGTTTTTTTGTGTCGCCCCCTGACTGAGGCAATGCCGCTTTGGCGCTGGCTCTGCGCCTCATTTGGCCCACGCACGGGCGGTGGTTGACCAATGCGGTGACGGCCGGCGACTACATCGAGGCGATTTTCGGGGTGACGAACATCGTCGGCACTTGCAGAAGATTTGGACCTACTCCGACCTCTGCGAGGTGGTGAAGAGCGTCGACCTTGCGACTCGCCGCCGGGCTGCTGCCGCTGGTTGGTGACCTACTCCGACCTCTGCGGCGAGATGGCAGTCGACCTTGCGACTCGCCGCCGGGCTGCTGCCGCTGGTTGGTGAGTGTTGGCTGAGCTGGCGAGCTGCCGGGCTGCTGCCGCTGGTTGGCATTGGTGAGTGTTGGGTGAGCTGGCGGCGGTGTTTTTCGGTCAATCAATGCATTATTAAATAGACAGTCTGGGGGAATTTTATTTAAAGAGGATGACATGTGGAGTGAAACTTGACCCCATTTCAAATTTCTGGAGTACACCAAACAAACATCTGGCCCACCAAAAGAAACCATACTTGGTCCACCCTCCCCACGCATCTACTATCTACCAATGAACAAAATAGAAATTGACAAATAATTGATTGACCGCTTAGTTAGCTACGGAATCCACCGGTCAAAAACTGACCGCTTAGGCTTAGTCGCTACGGAATCCACCGGTCAAAGACTGGTATTAATGTCGGAATCGTCAGCTGAGAAACTTGCCCGGCGAGACCATCGGCAACCCTGCGCGACAGCGCCTTGAAAGGAAAACATCGGCGGACTTGTCAATCATTTGCAGTTAGACATGCAGTTCATGTAGCAAATAAAAAGAGGGAATGGAAAGAATTGATGCACTTTTATCAGGCAGTTTCAGGCCCTGCCCTGCCAAATTTTGCCAAAATTTGAAACTAAGGTAATCGTTGACCCCCTCGTGACTGTGCGTGTTTTGTGGTGGGCGCTTCAAATTTTGCAGCAAGTTGTCCAAGTCGTTGAAGGCGTTGTCGATTTGCGTCTGGACGATTCAAGGCAATTGCCGCGACTTAGACTTGGCCAGCACTAAGCCGCCCGTCGAGTTCCATCCGGGCGGCTCAGGGCTTGTCAAGACTAAGACTTGGCATTGGCCAGTCCGGGCGATTCAAGGCTTGCCAAGCCTTGGCCAGCCCTAAGTCGCCCGTCGAATTTACATCCGGGCGACTCAGGGCTTGCCAAGCCTTGGCTAAGTCGGTCGAATTGAATTTAGGCGATTCAGGGCTTGTCAAGCCAGCCCTAAGTCACCCGTCGATTTGCATCCGGGCGACTCAGGGCTTAGCTTGTCAAGCCTTGAACTTAACCAGCAGTAATCGCCTGTCGGATTAAATTAGTCTAAATTTAGTCACTCCCTGGCCAAGCCTGACTGGACGCAACAGACAGTGCGTGTCCGCGTGTGTGCCCTCCATGGCTGCGAGCGATGATTCACCGGGGGCATGGGGAATTTTGAATCACGTAGCCATTTGGCCAACAGTCCCAGCGTAGCAGGTTCACCAGAGGGCGCAGTCAGTTGCCACAAGTCTCGCGATGGAGCTGGAATGCGACTTGGCATTCGCCAAGGCCGACGAGTTCAGCGTGGAGATCGTCAAGGCGGCTAAGAGTGAGAAGCCAACGGCGAAACACAATGAGATGAAGCTGATCCAGGACGAGGAGGACAGCGGCAGCAACGCTGCAGTCTGTGCGGCATTATGGCGGAGAAGGCGCAAGACGTGGGAGAGCACGTATCTGGTGGGTAGCTGCTTGCCAAAAGACATTTCCTTTCCTTCCGCAGCAGCTGCAAAGCTGGCCAAGCAACCCTGGGTTCTGGGGACTACAACCGGCTGCGGCTGCCTCCCATGCAGC